GGTTGCTACCTATAATAATAATTAGTTATATCAATCAGACATGTGTCAGAACGTTACAGAAACATTGACTTTTCGTCAGACTGGTTGCAACACAGGAGAAAAGTAAAAGTCACTTAGAACAGGTCAGTTCTGAATTACGAATATGCTAACAATAGCCCAAAATAAAACAGTACATTTATTGAAATGAAAAAAAAATCGAAAGTGATATAGCTAGCGAAAACGTTTTATGTAAAATAAAAACTTCAGTTACTTCACAGTGATACTGCGGTAATGCAAGACAAATCGAGAACAATACCCCGGGACATTTCGTAATATTGCACATTCCTCCTTGCTTTCAGTACAATAGGGGGACGATACAGGAAGGATCATCGTTTAATGATCTTTCGGCGTACGCAGTGCACAGGACGTAAAAACGAGTCATTACTTCATCTGAACTAAAGCTTGTTCAAGAAGCAACAAGATACTGCCAGCACGAAAATTAATTATGAATAAAATACAACACAGATGTGCTATGGTAGTTACCACCAATGGAGGAGCTACGATCATGTCAATAAATCTTGTCTTACTTTAAAAGACAAGTTTTCGATGGGTTTATGCACGGCATCAGAAAACGGCCATTTATAAAAGCTACCATAGAACAACAGGGTTACATTTTATTTCAACAGGATTATGTCATTTAATTTCCAAATTGTTTTAGTAGACACATTTGCTTTAACTCTGCTTTCCTTCGAAACACTCTCTCAACAATATGATACATTCTAGAAGCGTTCGGTTATCGCAAGTGTACGTTTTCACCCGCGTCTCAAATATCACATCACGTAACGTGTATTCTAATGGCTAAACTGATCAAACTGTACCGTACGCTCTGCAGTGAGACGATGCGCTGTCTTTGTCACTGAAAACTGTCGACCACGTGGAAGAGAGATGGAGATTACACAGATGCAGGATCAAGATGTTCGTTAAAGAATTGTATATAGAAATCATACCATCAGCGGTTCTACCAACTCCGCTCGCAACGGAATACGTTCCTATTTCCGGAGTTGTGTTCGGAAGACAAATCGGTAGTACGAATCGGTCAAAACGGATGCTTTCCTTTGTCTTTACCAGCCCAATATCAAAATGCTTGTAAGCATACAGATGATGGATTACAGTTTCATTTATGTCGTAGGCCCTTCTAGACATAACACCGTTAAACGACTTGGAGACGAATCCCCAAAAATTTGCTCGGCTAAAAACACGGCCCAATTACGTATCAGACGACCTTTTGTAATCTAAAGAGAATCAAACCCCTGGAACCGTTCAGAGCATCGCTTAAGACTGTTTATACCAGTAATTCATTGCATTCGTTTTGTTACCTGACTTACTGCTCAGTGGGACTTTCCTACTTTTGTAGGAGGAGACCCAAAAAGAAGTCGGTCATAATTCTCCATGACCCTCCAATGAAAAGCAACTGCTCAGACGGTGGGAAGTTAAATCAGGTGCGTGACAGTCACCGATGGAATACCGCTTTAAAATTATTTTATACTAAAAGTTTTCAGGAAATCTGTTTTAATTTTATGAATAAACATGCCTGTGAATGGTGGCATTACAGGAGGTGTCCCAGACGGTTTCTGTTCGGCCAAACTAAGCGACTGGAGTTTGCACCCATGCACTGCAGGTGATGAAAGAGACTAGAGTCTTAACTTGCTTAAACGACCCCGCGACTAGTAGAAACAAGAAAGCCGCGAGCAGGCTCAGTAAATCCGGAATTAGCAGAAAATGCTTAAATCTGTTTTTGTAGCCAAACCTAAAAAACATCCTTCAATCCTTTGTTTCCAAATATTAAAACATTCAGATTTATCTCAGACAGGTTAAACAACATCAGTGGATATAGGAAACACATGCATACCCATTCGTCAGGGATTCAGTTCCAAAAAGATGTTTATATTTTGCAGCATGATTTAAAGCGAGCGAATGAATAAATTACCTTCGATTCAAGCAATGCGCAGCTGTGAGGATCCAATGATGACTAATGATTGTTCCACTACAGTGTTGAATGAAAGCGCTACTTTCAACCTTGACGAAAACAGTCCATGGCTGAGAACGGATCGGTGTAAGGTCACCGCCGATTACTCGAAATCGGTCTCGGTTCACCGGCCATTCATTAAACGGTTGTCCGCATATTTCCGACAGTGGTGCTAAACGACACTGCACATAAAAAGCACACACCGTTTAATATATGATTTAATTTAGGGCATTTTATGAATGAGATATAACAGTTGCGGTGCCACCCATAGTGATAAAGTATATCAAGGCGAAGACTAGTAAAAGATTGAGTTCTAACAGCAGTACAACAAGGCATAATGAAGATGCTTGATTTACTGCGCTGAAATCAGATGCTAAATTTAGTGAAGTTTAGCCGACCATCGAGGACCAGATCCATCCTATAAAAACCAGAAGGAAAGTTTATTAAGATTTAGCATGCCCGACTTCCTCATATTTGTCTAGTGAAGCCATCTCTGACCATGTGAGCACAACTGCGTGTTCTTTTGCCAATAAATGGTACTCATTAATCGGTAAAGAAATTAGGAAAGGCGAGTGGTGAATCTGGCGTTAGAACCAGTCGCCTATGGGTTCTGAGTCTGAAGCTCTATCGATTGTACAACCCCTGTATAAGAGATCTTATTTTCTGCAGGAACAAGAAGCTACAGGTTAGAGAGAATCAGCCTTCTTGTAGAAGGCAATAACGAAAATTACTGCGTGCTGTGAGGTACACTTGGAAATTTGTTCCGATCGCGTATCATCTTTGGATTGTGGTAAACACCTGCTGCAATATTCAACTTTCCCGCTGTCTTAATGTAGAACCTACTTTGAGAGCGAATCAACGGAGAGATAAACCATAAAACGAACGAATGAATAAATGAATCAATTTTTGAATCAACGAGTCAGCGATAAAAAAATTTTCTATAGAATGAAATAATTTTTTTTCACAAAAATGTAACAGTAACAGTCAAGCATGTAGTGCCAAGAAACCAATGGTTGAATAATAATCCAGCAGATAAAAAAATTTGCAGCATTAACTCATAAGCATAGGTGTCACAACATTGAAGGCATTCTTGAAAATGGCAATCGCTGTCTTGAACGATCGCATCAGAAAAAGGAAGATCCAGCAAAACTTCTTTGCAATCAGGATCTCACGAATCAGAAATAAACGCGTATCACTGGCCACAAGAGAGCACTTCAAAAATTTTTGTGAAAAACGATTAAAATCACGTGAAATTACATTCTCATAAATACGTTTACTGTGATAATAATCTATGACCGATATGGCGTTCTGATAGGGAGGGAGGGGATAACATGCCGCAGTTTAATCGCAACATCTAAGATAGTCCAATATTTCAGCAATTTCAGAACTTGACATTCGGCCATCGTAGACATCAGCAGAATTGATTAACCAAGAGTGAAAGAAATCGATTGCACCAACAAAAATGTCCTTCAGTTCCCTCTGTGTCTGACAACCGCGGATTACACCGATGACTGGCGGAAGACCGACGGGCTTGAACAGATCTCTTCCTGTTTCGCAATAGTAAATGGAAACTACTAGCAAATTATAAAGTGAATGTCCAGATTTGCAAGAAAATAAGACGACGAATTCTAGAGATCAGTTAAGCTGCCACAAAAACATTTTGCAACGCAAATTTCGAAGCATTGTGCTACGCGGTAAACTCTTCATGGCCCAAAATCATACTGCAAGCTGGACTTTATCCATCAACGGTTAAGAATGCATCGGTAGTGCGATTCATAATGGTAAAATCCGATTTTATCCCGACTATTTTTGGATGACAGAAACCTGAGGCATCGACGGATAGATAGATAGCATCAATAAGTACTCGACTCTGAGATCTTCGTTGCTCA